TTTTTTTTTTTTTTTTTTTTTTTTTTTTTTGCAGAATGTTCTTTTTCTTTTTCTTTTTCTTTTTCTTTTTCTTTTTCTTTTTCTTTTTCTATGATGTACCACTGGTACATTGAGGCTAGGCAATAAAGTTTGAGGCTCGGCAATGATTGGGCTACCGGTCGCCCAAGCTTCGGACTTGATAGCTGGGCGAGGTACTGGTGGTTTAAACCACCAGTACGTTTCCCATGTATCGACCGCGGGTGGGAATTTGAGGCCGAAATGAAGGAGGGGGCGCCAATGACATTTATCAATGGGGGCCCTTTCCCGGTCGGCGTCCAAATATATACCGGCGCGGCTTTGCGAAATGGCTGGGAAACGTACTGGTGGGTTAACCCATGGCAAACCCTGAGCAACCCAAGTGAGAGCCGCTAGCATTGTTGTTATGTTGACTTTGTTTGTCATTTGTTGTTGTTGGTTTTGTTTTTGTTATTTGTTGTTAATGTTTGTGTTGTTTGACTGTTATTAGTGGGTTGTGTATCTGCGGGGTATAACACTTAAACCACCAGTACTTGGCCCAGCTATTGGCCGCGGAAAAAAATAGAGTAGAAGCGTTTCTAGTCGGATGAATTTGGACGAGCTCCCGCTCGAACGGATCGAAGAAGTCCTCCCGTCACTCGAAACAGTCAGTGGAGGCAAGACAAGAGGTAGCCATGGTAGCCATGGCCAACGCTAATGTGTCTGCCCCTCAAGTAATGGTAAGCATCCGAACCACCTTTCCATTCTATCTTTATCACACTCATGACATCCTGAGTCACGCTCAGGGTTATGCAGCGGCTGATTTTCCTCGAGTCATCACCTTGCTTGTAAGAAACACCTTTCACGATTGGTTTAAACGCCATAGATGGGAAGATTGGGTTGCGTTCAAAAAAACCTTTTTAGCAAGATTTGATGAGGTAAGTGAGGACACTGCCTGGTTTGTACTGAAAATGCCCCCTCAAGAACTAGGAGAACTGTTGCCAGACTGTGTGGATAGATTTCAAACAGCTCTGGACAAGTATGAACGGGAAGAAAACATTGCTCAAGACTTGTTCATATATCATCTTTGCAATTTTGTCATGAAGGCAAAATTGAAAAAGAAAGTTTCGCCCAAACCGACTCAGCTGCCGGCGATCATTGCCAAAGCACTCGAGCTGGATTCACAAGATACGCGCGAGTACATAGATCAGGGTGAGGAGGATATTGCTGATACGATAGAAGACGTGGCTGCAAAGCGGCGATCTTGTCTAAGATCGATTAGGCGGTTTCATCACCGCCACGATCTCGAAATCCCAGGCGGACCATCGCCGAGTCATGTCCCTCGTACTTCCCCTTATGTCGTCTCTCCTCTGTCCTCTCCTCCTCCTTCCAAGACTCCTGTTACCAGAGTCTTACCTCAGTCCTCAGCGCAAGTGCCCATCACCAACCTGCATCTAGCTCATGTGATTCATACGGCCACTTCACGACAATCGGAATGGATGAATCACTTAATACAAAGTCAGTCTTCACAGATGGATCGATTAGAGCAAGTCTTGCGGGAACTGATGAGTGCGAGCTCAAAAACGGCACATGCCAATCCTTCTCCTCTGTACCCCTCACTGGATCGTCACACACCTGTGCTTTCTGTCGAGCCCCCTCTCTGGGTTTCCCAGGGCCTTCTCTTGTCTCCTTGTCGCAGGCCGTCCATCTGTGGGTGATCATTCCATCGATCCATTTCTTGTTGAGAGAGACTTGCACTTCGGATCATGGGTGATCATTCCACCACTCCATTTTTTGTTGAGAGACTAAGTACTTTGGATCACCTGAGATTCTTGGCCACCTCTCTGGGTTTCCTATGGTTTCAAGGTCTGTCCCCAGCACAGGCGATTTGTGGCCTTGTTCTTGGCCTTCCATCTCAGGTAAAAAAAAAAACAGCTGTACCGGGCTCTTTACGAACCTACTATCCCGTCGCTCCAGGGTTCGAACTCCTGGTTTATTTGTCTCAACTTGACAATGTACATGTGAGTACCGTTTGTTCCACTTGCCCAGATTGGTTGTTCTGGTGGCTGCTGGTTCCAAGGATAAAGGGGCCTCACTTCACTACTCGATGTTCTGCATGTAACTGGACCTATTCGGGGCCAGTATACACCCAACATTTTGACTGTGTCGGGACCATTACACCATTCAGTTACATACATTTTGAATGTTGTATAGTGGAGAAAGGTCAAAAGTTCTCAAAACTCCTTGGCTAAAAACTGGATTCTCTGTGCAGTTTGGAAACAGAAATTCTGAAATAGCATGACTGATTGAATGGCAATGGACCACAGCCCCTGTAACTTCTTTTCTTTTTTTTTTTTTTTTTTTTTTTTGGGAAAAGCAGCCCTCTTGAGTGTTAATCACTTACTTATTGTGGGAGCTCTTACCACCTCCATTCGCAGGTCTGGTGGATAAAAAAAAAAAAAAAAAAAAAAAAAAAGGAGAGCCGCATGGACTACGAATGATAATTTTTTCCTCTGCTTGGTGGTTGAGTCAAAAAAAAAAAAAAAACAGAAAGAAAGAAAGAAAGAAAAGAAAAGAAAAGAAAAGAAAGAACACCTTATTGTTAATGCAAGCTCAAAGTTCTGTACTTGTTGAATCGACGTCACAGGTGTGCAAAATCCGATTGACGGTGTGGAGCATTCACAATCTGCACAGGTCATAGTGACCAGATACGTCGTTCATGCCACTGGGAGTTAAGGGGGGGGGGGGGGGGGTGGAAAGTCTTAGAGGGCAGTGCTGGCAGGAGTTATCTTGGGGATCAGTGATGAGCATCAACACATCTAGACAGATAATGTGCACTTGTTCACCCCCCTGCTGCAGCCTTTCACCTCATCTTGATCGTCTGTGGACCGAGCCGTCGCACATGGTGGAGGCTTCGGGTTCTGTGTGGTTGTCCACATGCATCTGGGGCAAAGTCAAGGGGTCTAGAATTCAAACAGGGGGCAAAGTTAAGGGGTCTAGAATTCAAACAGGGGGCAAAGTCGAGGGGGCTAGAAGTCAAACAAGGCGCAAAGTCGAGGGGTCTAGAATTAAAACAGGGGAAAAAATCAAGGGGTCTAGAGTTCAAACAGGGGCCAAAGCCAAGGGGTCTAGAGTTCAAACAGAGAATCCATCCGGCTCAAGGCCGGAATCAACGTCGGTGTGTGGATCGCTCTGCAGCCCAGTGACAAGAGTTGTAGGGCAGGGAGGCGTGAACTTGAAAGGGAGATCCACATGGGTGCGAGTGAGTTGGACCTACCTCTCCTTAGTGAGAGGGGAAAAGAAACAGGAAAGGGGATTCCGAGAGAGAGGAAGAGCACCTCCACAACATGCTCTTTATCTCCCTCTCACCTCGCCCTGCACTCACGCTGTGGCATTCTCTGGCATGGTCTCTTTCTCATCCTTCGGTGACCCTTTTCCCGATCTCTTCCCCGAGTTTGACATCAACAACCGCCTTCTTCAATACGATCTGTCCCGGCATCGGGCGTGCCAAACAGGTCTATATTTGAACCAAGGTGGTATGGACTCAAAACCGACCGGAGGTGAATCACGCATATGCTGGTCCAACGTGGACGGGTGTCAAGAGGGAGAGGGGGAGGCAGCGAGTACACTGACTGAGACAAGTGGCTGCTCACACCGGCCAGGATGGGTACCAGTGGGCGTGGGCTCAACTGGAGCAGGGTCAACAAGGACACAAGGGAGGGGGATAACTTGGGGTGGCACTGCTAATGGTGGTAAATGCACTCGGGGTCCTACGCGGACATATCCTGCTCCTTCCGGACCTTTGTCTCCCAGCCTTTCAACTACTACGCCTCCCGGTTCTATTCCTGTGCCTTTTCCGTTGAGGGCAAGACGAGCTGTCAGTGAGCGTACTGGTGAAGCTGGGAAGGAGGGGGAAGAAGAGAGAGAGTCCTTCCCACAGTTGCTGGAGTCGCTCTCTATAACTGCGAACTCTCCTCCACTCCTTGTTCGTCAGGTTGACTCTACTAGTGATGACACAGATTATGATGCGCTTGACCCTGGCAATGAGTTTGTTAAGAAGTCGATAGAGCCCCTTCATCCCAGCGATCCCAGTTGGCAGAGGGTTGGGAAGCGACCATGCCTAGTGTGCAAGGGTACAAAGCTTGTGGTGTGTGACAAGTGTGAAGGAAGAGGTCGGCTATCTAAGGGTGGGTACCAGAAGAAGAACCCTTTGTTCCTGGAGAGGATTGTGGATTCCAAGTGGACAGCCCTCGAGCGAACGTTTGGCTGGTGCCACTTTCGAGTAGAGTCCAAGAAACAACAAGCCAAAGGTATCTGGTACTTAGAGATGGTGGCCACATGTGACCCAGCATCACGGTTCTGGGTCAACGCTCAAAATCTCAGGGACAGGGACAGATGGGCTATGGGTTGGCTGCAGAAGCAGGAGATCTCGCGGTTGCGTAGTAGTAATGGTAGCAGGACCAGTGTTGAGCAGATTAAATCATCGTTGAAATCCGAGCCGTCGAGGTCGACTATGGAAGATGCCAGCTACGGCACAATCTGCAAGGCATGCAAAGGACTGGCCCAGAAGCCATGCAAGGCCTGCTCCTCGTCACCAATGAAGGGAAAAAGAAAGGATGCACACGGCAACACCCTTGGCGGATCGGAGTCGCACAAGTCCGGCCTTGCCACAACTATTATTGATGTGTAAAAGAATGAAAAGAGGATGATCTGAGCTCTGAGTCAGTGGGTGCGATAAGGATGCTCTGTACCATAGAAAGGAATTGCTTAGGGAAAAACTGACACAATGTAGGCCAAGTACATTTGAAATTCATATAGAACAGGAAGATTTGAGCTAAGTGATGCTCGAGCATGATGATGAGGATACTGTGTACCATCGGACGGGTTGAGTGTTTGAGAGAAATTGAGACATTAAATGCACAATAGTTTGTCAAAGGTATCTAGCAAGGCATGGCTTGGATTGGCATTAAAGTTTTGTGCAGTTGTGGGTAATGAGCATGACACACAATGAGGAAAGGTGTGAACGGTGGTCAAACACGAGGTCCTGCCTGCCTACCCGCATCGTGTCTGTTCTTCACTACTCACCATGTGTAAATATTAAATAACCACATGGTAAGTAAACATCAGCAAAATTTAACGTGGGTAAACGTGAGTGGACGTGGGTAAATTCTGTTACAACCTGTCAATTCTGTTCATTGACGTAGTACAAGAAGTGATATTTGTGTTTGTGAACTGCCCGAAAAAATCAGCATGATCTCGATTCCTCATCTGCATAGATAGTAAATACCCCTACCCTTGAATTGTGGTGTTTGGTGCAGCCAAACTGAAACTCATGCTGCCATTACTGGAATCTTATGGGTGTCTTCCCCTCCTCTACTGTGTCTCTTTATGCTCTCTCTTCCCACCTCAGAACTGCTGCTTCGGCTGCAGCAGCGGCGGCAGCCTGCTGCTGCTGCCGCGTCTACTGCTGCTGCCACTGCTGCTGCCGCGTCTACTGCTGCTGCCACTGCTGCTGCTGCTATTGCTGTGGCTGCTGCATCTGCTGCCACTGCGGCTACTGCGTCTGATGCCTCTGATGCTGATGCTGCTGTTGGGTGCAGCATCCGCTGCCGCTACCATGGCTGCGGCACTGCCACTGCAGCTGTTGCCTCTGCTGCCATTTCTGCTGCTGTTGCTCCTGCCACCACCACCACAGCTGCCACTACTGCCACTGCGGCTGTTGCTGCGGCTGTTGCTGCTGCTGCCACTGCTACTGCTGCCGCTGCCACTGTCGCTGTTGTTGATGCTACTGCAGCTGCCGCTGTTGTTGCCGCTGCCGTTGATATATGTATCTCATATATATCATATAATATATATTTTCTGTGGTCGGGGTCGTCACTACGCGGCCATGTTGTGCTTCTAGTGCCAGCGGCGTGTGTGGAGTGTATTTTCTGGCTGTGACAGACCTTTCTTTGTTTCATGGGTGTTTTCCTGGCTTGTGATGGGGTGTGAACCGACAATCTGTAGAATTTTCCATCTGGTGTGGTGAGTGATAGTATGCTTTGATTTTCGTCATTGATTTTCGTCACAGGTACCTTGAGGGCAGTGGTTGGTGCCCACCTCAGGGTATCAGTTGTCGGGCAGTCGTTGATGCTTAACCACAACCGGGGTTAAGGTGGATTATCACTTATAGTGTAATCAGTCAGGGAATTCCGCAGACTGTCGAGGGTTCAGCCTCCTGATGAGTCGGTGAAACTCCGATGAAACAGTTTGTCACAGCCCCTCGTTTGTTGTCCTCTTCTCCCTCTCTGCCTACAGTTTACCAGGCAGCTCTGTTTGACGATACATATGTTTCTGTTTATCATATAATATATATGTTTCTCTCTCTCTCTCTCTCTCTCTCTCTCTCTCTCTCTCTCTCTCTCTCTCTCTCTCTCTCTCTCTCTCTCTCTCTCTCTCTCTCTSTGTGTGTGTGTGTGTGTGTGTGTGTGTGTGTGTGTGTGTGAGAGTGTGTGTGTGTGTGTGTGTGTGTGTGTATATATATAGAGAGAGAGAGGCACAGTGAAGAGGGAGTTAAAAGAAGAATGAGAAAATGAATGGTTTCAGTGTGCCCTTCATGTTTGTCTTGTTTTTTAATTTTTTGTTTCTGCCGTTGGTTTCGCTAAGTGCGCTCTTTTAGTTCATAGTTATGTGACAATATATATATGTGTGTGTGTCTGTCTATCTGTATGTATCTTTATCTACATTGCATTCATCTAGTTCCCCCGATTTGGGTTCTCCCTTGGTAGCGTGTAGGCATATGGGCTGTAATGTTATCCTTACATTTCCATGTCTGTAGTCTGCTCTAATCCTTTTCTTTTAACAAAAAAAGGGCGACGGTCTTGAGATACCATCATTGAGGTGACTGGCCCAAGGCAATTCAAAAATATTTTGGTCTTACTCACCAAGTGCCAACATCTGGATTCGAACTCGGGTCTGTATTTCAACAGTTCATGGGTATTCGGCGAGTGTTGTGCATTTTCTCCCACGGTGATGGCATCACACCCCTTGCGTCGCCTTTGCCTATAGCCAGGCATATCATTCATGTTCCAAGCTTCCCTTTCCTGGTAGACCTTGTATGGAATTACCCTTGTCTCAAGCATCGCCCACCTTGATGGTTGATCTATTAGGGTTAGTGGTTGTGTTTCGTACCACTCACACCCTAAGCCTGTTGACCCCACCCATTATTGTGCGTGGCTGCCCCTAGGACTTTCAATTCTTAAACCACAAGTACTTCCTAAAGTCGTGCCCGTTAACGCTACGCGATCTTAGGAAAACGTACGGGCCACTACAGGAGCGCCCAAATTCATCCAACTAGAAACGTTTCTACTCTATTTTTTTCCGCGGTCGATAGTTGGGCCAAGTGTTGGTGGTTTAAGCTGCATTCACCCGTTCCCTGAGACCATCCCACTACATGGGGTTCAGTGACCTGACTTCCCCTTGTGACATATCTTATGCTTCTTCATTATTGAAGCCGTTGGCCTCCAGGACTTGTAAGATTTTAGTTCATTTCAGTAGTTAGGATTTTGCTTTACTCACTGTAACAGTTGTTATTGGCTAGGATTTTGCTTTACTCAGTTCTTGCTGATAGTTAAGTATATCAGATGTTTCCTTTTCTTGTTTATGGACATTATGTAGCTTAGGCTGCACAGCATGTGTTTAGCATGGAGCTTGCTTCTCATCCTAGATTGTTCATATTGTCGATTGCAAAGTTCCGTTATTTTTGTGGATAATGTGTTTATGGATTTTGCGATCCACTACAGGTTTGAGGATCATGCAGTGGTACTCCTTACTTGACAATAGGCCATGCTATTTTGGCTGTGTCTGTAGCGGTACTCCTTACTCGACTATAGGCCAAACTATTTTGGCTATGTGTCTGCTTGGGTGTGGGACCAGTTTGTGGGTCTCGCAGGCCATGTATTTGGTGCAGTCCGGTACTGCGTCTGGTACTAGTCTAGCCCGGTGCGGCCAGTCCACTGGGGGTATACGGTATACAGCAGCTGCAATTTTGTATTCTATTCATTCTTCTTTTTCCATTACGGGAGTCCTGGAGTATGTTGTGCTAGGTGTCTGACGTACAATTTTTCATTTTTTTTTGGTACTTGCATACAAAACAAAACAGGCGTTGTACTCATATGTGCGCGACCCCTGACAGTGATTTTCGTGGGTTTTTAGGGCATGCAAAAAGAAAAAAAATTGTGGGGCGAATCGGGTGATAGTCCCGTGAGTTTATTATATGAGGGGGAAAAACGAGTATTCCGAGGTTTTTTTTTCTTTTTCTTTTTTGAAAATAGGTCTTTGGGGGTCCTTTTTGCCCACAACCCTGGCCTTTGGTGGAGGGCGTTTCCTCACACAGACACACACACACACACACACACACGCACACACACACAGAGAGAGAGAGAGAGAGAGAGAGAGAGAGAGAGAGAGAGAGAGAGAGAGAGAGAGAGAGAAACGAAGTGGCTGCAATGTGTGTAGCCATAGAGGTGCGCTGAAAAGATGCACCCTACCGGTAGGGGCATATTGCAAATTTGGAACGGGTGGCCCAACCGACACAGGGGTTTTATGGGAAATTTGAATCGTGGTCAGAGGGGCGCCACAGGGTAAATCGGCCCTGGGAGGGGCACCACACAAAATAATGGAAACTACAGGGGCACCAGACAATTTTTTCCAAAATGGAAAAAATAAAATAAAAAATTATGGGCAGGTGCCCATGGACACCACACACATACCTGTAAAAACAAACAACCCCCCCCCAGCCAAAACAAAAAACAAAACACAGTTCTCGCTCTGTGAACCTCTATGAACTACGACTGGTCACAATTTCTGGGACCGGTGACCGACCCCGGGAACGGGTGAACGGGGTTACGGCACCGACGCTCACAATTCTTTTTCTTTTCACAGATGCCTTTCTCGGTATATTGTGACGAGTCTTTTTCTTGTGCATGTAATTTTTGAAAACGTCCTTGCAACCCTGTGCAATTTTGTTGATGAATGTTAGAATAGGAATTGGCATAGGAAGCCGCGCCCCTTAGCATGTGCGTGCGAAAGTTTCTTTTAAACTTTTCGGTTTCAATTTGGCTTTAGGAATTAGACGCGTATTCACTGGCATTTCATGCAACTGTTTCGTGCCTTTTTTAATCTACGTGAATGCAACTTTTTGCGTTGCGCTCTTGCATGCGACCTTTCCTCACGCACTTAACCCTTTTTCTTCGTGCCATCATCGACAAGCTATAATTGTGTTTTTCTCCATCCCTTCACGCCGTTTCCTCCTTCTTGATCTAGTTGAATCTTGGTTTTGCTTCATACGGTCTCTTGTAACCACCTTTCTCGCCTTCATCTACACGAGAGATGGATCTGTTGATCCCAGAGTGCCCGTAGAAGTCAGACTGCAACTGTGGCATGTAAGGAGGCTATGAACTCCTCATGTGATCTACTTGGCTATGATCACTCCGATCCGATCTACATGGCTCTCCCATGTGCATCCCCTTCTCTTCTTTCTCCCCTCATATGTCTCTCATTATTATGACTCCTCCGCTTTCTTCGCAACTATAAATTTCGTAAGCGCATCGCTCGCAACGCATCTGCCAACTCGACTGGAGTAGTGGCTAGATGAGGTGGTGATCAATTGGTTGGGAAGTCCTGACGAGTCGGCTGCGGCTTTGCGGGATTGCGCTTTGGATCGCTGTGATTGACTGCAGGATTTGGGGGAATCCATGTAGTAGTTGGGTGGACGAGGTGATGACCGCTAGGGTTTTAGCGCGGGGTATGTGGCGACCGAAATCGTTAGTGCCCTAGCGAGGTGAGAAGTGGTTGTGATTGGTTTGTTGGCCTGGGGCGATAACATGAAAGCGGAAGGATCTGTTTCTTCTTCCTCCTCTTATCTTTTGAGTAGAGCTGCATGGCACGACACGGATTTATTGTCTCAATCGAACGAGTGTATATTCCATCTTTCTCTTAGTTTGGACGTATGCATGAGTGCACGGTGAATGTACGTCTAACTCACAAATATATGCATGTGATCTTGCGATAATGTTTAATGTCTTTTTTTTTTGGCCCCGCCTTCCCGCTTTTAGGATGACATTGGGCACGAGTGCGAATGCTGGTGAAGCTGCCTAGTCGGATCAATGCTTTTGTTCTTCCTCATCGGGTGATAATGATTCCTTATTCTCTTGCTGTTATTTTCTTAATAAATGTTCATGTGTGGGGATGATGATTGTATGAATAGTTTTTGGTTTCTTCTCTTCATCTTCGTTGTGTGAGTAGGATCTTTTTCTGAAGGACATCCCTCCACAGTTTTTATCCACGGAGTTGGTCAACTCCCGTTGCAATCTTCCACTTGCAGGAGTGATGGTAACGAGGAGATTACCCGCCCCTCCACAGATTAAAAACACGAAGTACTCCAGCCACTTTGTATTCTTTGTCTACCCTCCTCCTCCTTTTTGAATGAATGAATGCCTTCTCGCATGATCATAAATATGACCTGTCTGCGAGCGGGATTAATACCCACTTCTAATCGAAGGGTTTTGGAATGAGAGCTCAACTTGTGACGATCTCTGCTCTTCTTGTCGCTTTGAGAGAACATTGCCCTCCCGGATACTAACCAGCGGAATGCCTAGAAAAAATTTCTTCTTTTTATCATGTTCTTGATTGATTCTTCCTTTTAGATGAAATGCTTAGCTTAGATTGTTAGTGAATGCCTGGATGAATCGTTTTGTCTTCTTGAAGGGCTAACGATTGCCTCCTGGCGCGTGAATGTTGCAAGGGCATATAAAAAAGACGCATACCTGTCACGAGGGCACATCACAGAGGCCCTGGTGGAATGGGACTGGCGGTCCAGTAAGGGCTTCCCGAGAAGTTGTGCCCCTTGCTGACAGGGGCCTTGCATAAAAGTTCACAGGCCCCAGGGGCACGACAAGGTAAGTTGGCCGCCAGAGGGGCGCTATGCAAATTTGTCGAACTTTAAGGGATTGCGCAATAGCATAATGGACTCCAGAATATAAAGGATTTGACTCACATTTTACAATAAATGTTGAGGATTGAAGTTAGATCGCAAACATAACATATGGACGTATATGGAAACACACGAGATATTAGGGGAAGGCGCACAGGTGGAAGGGGTAGGAAGCAGTGGGGCAGATGTCGGTGTGGTGACAAGGGGCGAGGTGACACATAGAACTGAAGCGGCACATCGTGCCAAACCGCAGGATGGATCAATAGTGCAATGGTTCAACAACGGAGTGGCGCAACTTAGAGAGAGAATCAAGAAACTCTCTATAAAAATAGCGAGGGATAAAAAGGCGGCACTAGACAATTTGATCCTCCAATTAGAAGAATGGGACAAACACTTGATGGACAACCCCTTAGACATATCTACCTTCCAGGCGCTTCAAAGAGCGCGGACCCAACTACAAGAACACATGGACGCCCAAGCCCAGAAATGGCGGATACAAGCAAGAATAAACAGGGACGCTGCTGAAGGAATGATGACTAAAACTTTCTTTCAAAAAACAAAAGCAAAAAGCAGACAAAACGCGGTGCCATCCCTCAAGCACCCATTCGATGAGACCCG